CCTGCTACAGTTTTAGCCTTCTTCACCACAGGACACAGATTAGCAATGGTGCATCAAATTACACTGCTGGGAATTTTGCGACCTGAAAATTTTCTCTTATCAAATTAACTTAGGTACACATGCCTATGGGAAGTCTTTGTCTAGTTCTTGTCAACCCACAAAGGATATCTTTTATCATCTTTCAAAGTAACAGTAGTGTATTTACTTCCTGACCAACCTGATGTTGTTCGTTGCTAATTTAAAAAAAGCAGCCCTCAACTTCATAATAGCTCCATCTTTATTATCCTTTAAAGCAAAAAGCAAATAGTAAACAAACTCATCCACAAGACCTGTTATTCTACCACTTATATTTTCTTTCCAAAGCAAATGATCTCTCTTTAGCAGTTACAGAAAATGATTAAGAAATGTTACTTAGAATTAGTCAATGAATGGCTAATTAAGTCAACCAAGAAATATTTCATATGTAAAATCGTAATAATGAAACATGTTCCATTTGTTTCTGGCTTACAAGAACAATAGGGGTTTGTTTTTAAAACCATATTTAAATACAACCCTCTCACCATTTCATCATGACTATTACTCCATAATTACATCATTAGCTAACAGTATTTTCTCTCTCTCATTTTAGTGGCAGAAAAAATTTAACCTTAAAATTATCATCAATAACCACTCTGAAATAGCAAGACTTGCATGTAAACTAACAGCAAATTCATTGCAAAACATATTTCATAAATACTTAAGGCCCTACTGTATATTCTTTGTGTCCTCACAAAAAAAAAGCTCTCCAACATTTTGACAGTGCACTACAAGCAGCTCATTGCAAAGCAGCATGACACTAGCGATAACAGACAAGCAGTGCAATGTGTCTACATGGATGCTGTACTGATTTTATTTATCAAACCTTACAGACTTCACCTAGTTTAAAAAAAGACTCAAATTGTGTAACTCTGTCAAATAGATAGACCTGTAAGAAAAAAATAAATGAAGACTTAAGATTGAGATCTTCGCTATAAATGTTTTTTTTTCTGCTCTGACCAAGCTGGAAAAATGAAATCCAGTATTTTACCAATGTTACATGTATCAAAGTTACGAAAAAGAATGGAATCTTTCAAATACTGAAATAGATAAAAGCTTTAAGAACCTGTGAAACATTTCTGAAAACTTCTGAACAAATGGCTGAGAAAACAATTGTTTTTTCCAGACTTTTGCTTATAATTCCAACTATAATTATTGACACCTGTAGAACAGTAAAAGCAAGCTCCATGTAATGAACACCAAAAGCTCAGAACACATAATATGCTTGCTGACTGGTGCCAGAAAGATATACCAACTTAAGTAATTTATATATTTTTCCTTAATTATTTCATTTACTTATAATAGGTGATTACCAGATAAGCATTAGAAGGAAATGACTTTGTTGTGGGATTCCTGTAGAGTAATACAAAGGAGAAGAAAACATTTGGATTCTCTGTCTTCAAACACTGAAGAAAAGGAGAGAACGCTTAGGCACTTACTTTGCCTTGACCAAGATGACTTGGATCCATTTCCCTCAGTCCTGGCCAAATGCTGATAAAAAAAAATCATCCTTTCTTATGCAACAATGAGAAAAAAAAATTGACCGCTAATTTTCAAATAATTCTAATTTTCATGAGATTAATAAAGCTAGCAATCTATAACTATGATCTTCACCTCCTATGATGTCTCCTGTTTTACAACTGAGATGTTCATTTTCAGGAGAGTCAAACACTTGCCCAGAATTAGTTCTCAGGCAAAGACAAGAATCCAGATCTCCCAAACGTTGATCAAGTACTTACCAAGTCTCTTACTCAAGTACTTACTTGTCTCCTTGTTTTGTCTTCCAAACAACTGCTAGGCATATTGAGGCCCTGCTTCCTGGGACATGACTGAACATCAATCATTCATGGAAAGTAGAGAATATTTTTTCCTCTCTCTGTGCTTCCACACAGCCTTTGCTACCCACCCCCCCACCCCCCTTCCTTTTCTTTTTAATTAAATTATCCCTATCTCAACCAGGAGCCTTTTTTTTTTTCCCAGCATATTTTCTTCTCCCCCTCTTCTTCTGAGGAGGGGAAGTGAGAGAGTGGTTATGGTGGAATCCAACTGCCCAGCAAGGAAAAACCACCACAAATACACATACAGTACGCTCTATTCAAATTGAATGCTTAATTTAGTGTTCATCATTTATATAATTGAATCATTTTCTTGAGTAAAAATGATTAATCACATCTATATATATATTTTTTTTTAATTTTTTTTCTGAAGTTCTTAACTCAACAACCCATCAGCAAGCAGTATAAATAGGCTGTAACTTTAAATAATATATGCATAAGTGAAAGGACAGTTGTGGAATCATTCCTGTAACTTCACGCAAGAAGTGAAGCACATTACAGAACAAACTATCATCTAAAAGCATCTATAAAAGCAAGAGGCACCTTTGGCATTTATCTTGACAAATACTTTTAAAGACGTTCTGAAGAATTAAAATTCCAGAAACACTCATGACTTCAGTGCAGTGCCATGCACGGGTCAGCTGCCATGCCCTTACCAGATAAATTTGTCCCTGGACTTTCCACACAAATGGACTGTTACGTAATTAGCTTGCTGATATGGTATTCTAAACGCAGATGTCACACAGATGAAAATAAAGACATTTGCATATTTTGAAATCCTCCCTCAAGGAATAACCTCCTATTGAAAATAAGCATCTTTCTTTTATTGTGTATTTTTTTCCCCAAGTAAAACGTTAGCATTGGGAAATCTATCTATTGGCAAATCTTTCTTTGCGTATCTCTTTTCAGTCAACAAATAACAACAAGATGGGAATGTAATAACAAGCAGGATGAGAAATCATATGAAGAATATTAAGAAATAGTTATATAAGTCAATGGTCTAGCCTCTTCTGGAATAATACATTAAAAAAAAAAAATCCTTCCTCTAAGAAAAAAAAAAGAAAACACACGCAAAACTTGAAACACTTCTTGGGGAAAAGTTGAAAGAAGAGTGCAAGCATGATCAAACACTTAGAGAAAGAGAGTAAAAATGTTAACCAATTTCACCAGGCAAAAAAATAGTGAGATGAATACGAAAAAAATATGATAAAAATATAAAATAGTAATGCTAACATGGTAATCAGGTTTGTTCTATCTCATAGCACAAGCACGAAGAAGCATTAAATGAAAGTGAGAGAAAGGAAATTAAAAATCAATTAAAGGAATTAATTGCCCTATGCTGCAGAATTGTCTTGTAGAATTTCTTGCCACAAGAACTCTTAGAGGACATCAAACATTTCCAGAGATGTGACTGTAACACATTTTGGAAAATATATCATGTACCTCATAGCATAATTCTTTAAACACTCAGATCAAAGGAGAGCTGGCACAGATTGAACATTATTTCCCTCTTCCCTTCCTGCCCCCATTTTTGCCACTATATTCCTAGCTCTTAAGTGTTTAGAATAAATTTTTCAGAAAGCAGACTATTAGACTAGCTCACTATACCATGCACTGTGAAAACAACTCTTACATTTACACGGGTTTTTTAATTTGTGCGTGTGTCTGTGTTTTTGTATTTTTTTCACTTTTTTTTTCCATAAAAGGTTGCTGCTTAATTCATTCAACACAACAGGGCATGTAAGGCTGTGTTTATAAGCTTGCAACTAATTGGGAAGTACAGTTCATAATAAATACTCACAAACACTTGTCTGCCGCAGTGAAAGTAAAATAACAATTCCTCAGTCATATAAATATGTTACCTGTACACACAGTGAGTAAATGTTATCATGAAGATTACGAAGGCTGGAGGCATGAACTCTGTAACTTTATGGTGAGTCACTTATGTACACTCAACTTACCTTTTTAAAGTGTTGTTAAAGCACTCAAATACAAACAAACAAAGTAGTTCTGTAAACACACGCTTTATACACTATAAGGCATCAAATCAGCAGAAGTGGTAACACTGTAACATGATATAGTAGAATACCTGACCTCTTGTGCTTTCCTTGAGCCAAGGCCTTTATCTGAAATACTCTCTCATATCTTGGGGCAGGGGAGGAAGCCCCAAACCAACAACATGCATTAAAAAAGGTTTCAGTATGAGACCAGCTGCATAATATGTATACGGGCTGAAAAGGCCACATAAATATTTTAAGTGCTCGCAAAGCTAAAGGAAAAAAAAAAACATTACACAAATAATCAAATTCATTTATCTCTACCAAAATTTAATCTTGTTGAAAGTTCCACAGGAACCTTGGAGTAATTTGCAAAGACATTCTTGAGATGTTTAATTTAAAAAGATTCTGACTTTTTGATCAGACACTGCTTGCTTTTCAACAGGTCATGCATTATGTAGGCATGTAACAATGTTACCTACACCAAAGATGAAACAAGAAGCTCAAGGAAGACAAATAATGGGCTTGAATTTTACAGCTTTAGATTCAGATGGACCACAAAATTTAAAAAGTTAAATAAAGCAATGTGGAGAGGAGAGAGAGAAGAGACTGGCCCCGTAATTTGTGGGGCTCGGCAGCCACGGATTCACCTCCCAAATCCCAGAGGAAAGCTGCCAGCTGAGCAACCCGCCCCGCGCGTCGCACCAGACAGCCACCTGGCAGCCCAACCAGCCACACTCCCCTCTCCCACGGGGATCACGCGACTTTTTTTTGTTGTTTTGTTATTTTTACACCACATCCAGCGAGCGCTGCCAGAGCGAGCCCACCCCGCGGACCTCGCCCCGCAGCACTGCCGCGGGCACGGGAGTTCAAACCAACACGGGGTGACCTTGGGGACAACCCCGGGACCGGCTGCTGCTGCCTTATCCCACACCAGAGGAGCAAAAAAGGGGGATAAGCAGTATCAGGGGGCAGAGAGGAAGCGGTGACGGCGGGGCAGGGGGGCGGCGGGGGGCCGTGACGCCCGGCGGGGCAGCGGAGGGGCGGCCCCGCGGGAGGCTCCGCATCCGGGCGCGCTCACTCACTCACTCACCTATCATGGCGGCGGCGAGGGGGCGAGCTGCGGGAGCGCCGCGGGGGGGGGGGGGAGGGGTGCGCGGGGCTTTCTGGGTAATGTAGTTCTGGCGTCCCCGCACCTCACGTGACCGCAGGCTTCTCTCCCCGCCTGAACGCGCACCCACACACTTTTTAATTAATTTCTGCTAATTTCTGCCGGCTGGCTCAGCGCCGCCCGCCCTCCCGCTGCGTGGGGCTCTTCAGCTTGGTTTATTCCACTCTGGGGTTTCCCCCGTGAGCGTGGCCGCCCCCCGCCAGTCCCCCCCCCCATCATGGCGGCGGGTTGTTGACGCGTTGCCTAGCGACGGGCTCGAGTCGCCTGCCCCGGGGGGTGCCAGCCCCCCAACGGTCCCCAACGGTCCCCAACGGTCTCCAACCGTTCCCGAGCGCCCCCCGCCGCGGGGTGAGGCGGGGCTGGGGACGGGGCAACGGGGGCAGAGGGGGGGATGCGGGCTGGGGGCGGCAGAAGCGGGGTGCCGCCGGCGGGGAAGGGGGGGCACAGGCGGGCTGGGCGCGATTTCTGACTTGCTGCGGTGGGGGCCGGTGTCTGTCTGTCTGTCTGCCCGCCCTTGCAGTCTGTCCGTCGGCTCTCGGGATGGTGGTGGAGAAAGCGGCCGCAAGCCCCCCGGTGCCCGTCGGCGAGCGGCGCCCTCAGAAGCAGGAGCCGCTGGGGCGCACGAAGAAAATCCGGCAGCAGGTGACCGACGGCTTCACCGTCAAGGCCCTCATGAAGAACAGCGTGGTACGTGCGCTGCTGGCACACGGGGGAAGGGGGGCGCTTAACGCACCCCCACGCCGCCGGGAAGCGGAGCGGGGTGAAACTGGGGGTGTGAGGGAGCTGGGCGGGGGCTAAAACTTCACCTGGAGTTTGCTGGTGGCTAAACTCACCTTCGGGCTTCACAGGATTAATATCACGAGGTACCAGCCTGTGCCTCAGGGTGATGCCGCACCTCCAAGGGTATTGCTTTGGTGCCACGAGTTTTCTGTCACGCCGTATTAAACTGTCAGCCCATGGAATTACTTGGCTTACTACCTCGCACGTAGCAAAATACCATCAAATGATAGTTTTTTGGAAAAGTATTTTTTGAAAGTATTCTCTCGTGCTGTCACAGTGTGATGTAAGTTTGATGTAAGCATCACACAAGATGGCAAAGACCTGGAAAATACATTAGTTTTTAAAATAATCTTGAAAAATGGTAAAATGCTTTCACATACAATTATAAGAACACTAGACAGGAAACAAACTAATTTTCCAGCTGATAGTTCAAAGGGGAGTTGATCCAGCAAGCTTCATTTTCATTAACAAACCTAATTTCTAACAATTGGAGGTACGTGAGTGAAATTACTAGGATCATGGCCTTTCAAATTGCTTTATACTGTTTTATTTATCTACTTTTATCAGATTTAAGTTTTAACTAGCACAGAATACAAATGGTCAATGTGTAAGTGGAAAAACTAATATGAGCACATGTATCCTTAAACTTCTGAATCGGACTTTTTTTTTTTTCCCCACACAAATCAAGATGTAAACAAAGTCTTGAATTCTCACCTTTTTGTGTTTGATTTTATTTATTATTCTATATATCCTTCTGATTGCAGCTATGAAGTACATAATTTCCCATGTTTTGCTTCCTCTTGCAGTCTCTAGACTTATCTGTCAGAGCACCCTCTTAAAAAAAAAGTCCATCTTAAAACAAACTTTAAATGGAATAGAAATTGTATGCATAAACAGCTTTCTTCATATTAGTAAAGACAAAATATATTTTATCTTAGTGGGAAGAATACAATGCAAAAATAGCGCAAGGTGTGTTTTAAAGATTATCTTGTTTTTAACTCTAGAGATGTGTGGAGTAGACTATAACACTTCAGTGAATTTAAGGATTAATTTTTAAAGATATTTCACTGGACAAAATTCAAGTTATGAGCATTGATATATACTTGTTCACATCTTGATATGTAAAAGATACGTGATATAGTCTGGAGGAACTTGCAGTTTCATCAGGGTTTGAGAAATACATGTATTTGATTTTTTAAAAAGGAGCCTTTATGAACATAACTAACTATCACTTTAATTAGAATTTAAGTTTTCTTTTAAATATTTATAGAATTTTAACTTTTATGGTCACAATTCTAACTTGCTAAATATTAGCAGAATCATGGTAATCATGGTAGTGTTGTCAAGCGACAGCAAAAAGGCAAATCTACTGCCTTTGGAGCCACTCGCTGAATAATGTTTCATGTTGTTTGGCATGGACCTCTGGAGGTCAAGTGGTTCAGTATCCCATTGGACGTGGGATACTAGCAGAAGATCCCTAGCAGAAGATCAAATCAGTCATGGGTTTCCCTGGCTAAGCTGTGGAACTCTCCCACAGCAGCAATTCCCTGATCTGTCTGGGAACCTTTTTGGTTGTTGCCCTGCCTGCCTGCCCCCATGGCACCCTGTCAGAGGTAGGGTTAACTGAGTCCTGAGCCATTCCACAGGTTCTGTTCCTGCATCCCTAGGAAGCAGTGAAACTGATGAAGGTCCTGGAAGATTCATCCTGCCAGGGCTGTTTTTCCAAAAGTTCTGAGCGAGGACAGGCAGCCACTGGAATTATTTCCCTGAGGTCAATGTGCAAAAGGTCAGAATAGAGAAAGGATTTTCTTACTGCCACCCTGGCTGTGCAGAAATGGGAGTTCCTCTTCTCTTTCCCAACAGCTGATGAAATGGAGTGTCAGTTTTATTAAGTACTCACTTGTCAGAGGTGGGCATCAGAGATGAAGTTGTCATGGAAGGCTTAGGAGTTGATTGGAGGGTTAAAAGCAGAGCAGGCTAATATAGTTAAAGCATGGTAATTCTTTTTAACAGCATGACAAGACACAGTGTTGTCAGTGACATGTTCAGCATCTCCAGGTCAGACTATGAGGTACAAATTAATAACCTTTGCTGCAAGCATGTAGTAAGAAGAAGAGTATAGAGTCTAACTGTTTACCATTATGCATACATGACTGTAAATATAGCATTAAAGGTTCTAGAATTCTCTGATACTGCTTGTATAAAGAGTATCTTACTAAGCTATTTTAAGTGAAAGTTGATGGATGAAGTTTTTTCCAACGGTCTGCTTTCATAGCCAGTAGTAAGTACAGGAACATAGGCCTCTGGTGATTTTCGTAGAATATTCAAGACATTTCTCAGCTTTGGCATATTATATCTAAAATTTACTAATCAGGATACCTTAGTTAGTAAATATTCACCAAGAAAATAGTTCCTGAACTGGAAGATGTGTTGTATGTTACTGCCTTCCAAAATCAGAAATTTGTACAGCAGTTGAGATTAAGACCAAGATCCAATAAAGGTCTTCTATACTAACAAGCTAGATATCATGACATTTACATTTTTCTCATTTTGTCCTCCACATGGAATCAAGAATGCCATATTACATGCTCATACTTTGAATGTACTGCAGGGGTAGAATTAGAATTATAATTTAAAAATTATACACAGGGTAGCAAGTACAAAAATATCTGTACATGCATGTGGACAGCAGGAAGATATCTCTTCACTTCTGATTCCCACTGGATAGTTGCTACTTTTTCCTGTTTTCTGTAAGTGTATAAGAGTGTTAGTGCCCCCTTTTCTTTAATAAACTAGTGGTAAAAGCACTTTTGCAGGGAGAGGATTTATTTTATTATTTAAAGGGAACTATAGAAAGTGAATTCCAGTCTATCTCCCAACTTTTAAAAGATTCTTAGCCAACAAACTACAAGATTACTGAGGTGAAAACGATGTCAGAGGAAAGTGTGTATGTGTCTTTTCAAAGTTCTGTTGCTGTGCTGCGAAAATTTAGGATTCACAGTGCTAGAAAGAGGCAGGGTAGGAAACTCACTAGCCAGCATAGGGTAGTGCATAGATCAGTCATGCAGTTTTGGAAGTGTGGGTACTTTGTGTCCATTATTACTTATTAGAATGGATCTCATGTTTTTCAAACAGAACTGGAACCTAAGACACCCCCTCATGAGTGCTGAACCAATAAAGCAATGAAATATTTGTCCTTGGTTTTGCTATGTTTTATGAACCTTGAATTCCTTACTATAAAATGCCAGAGGTGCCTCAGAAAAAATCGGAGTTATCTTTCCTCTATGGGTTTCCTCTGTATTTCCTCTCCTTTAGTGACACAGTTGCCAGGTAAGTTGAAGTATTCTGCAGCATATCAATTTGAACTCCTCTGGACAGAATACTGAATTCAGATCTTCTTGGCTTTGTGTGTAAGCCAGTAGGTTTTATGTTTTAAGATACCACTATTGCATCTATCTGTGTCTTATGAAAGCAGTCAGTAGCTGCTGTTAATAAAGGGCCACATCTAGCCTGTGTGTAAGGCATAAAGTTAGAATGTCTTCTAAATGGACCTGGAATGAGGGCGATGCTGAGAATTGTTTGTTTCCTGGATTAAAGAACTAAATCAGAGTATTCAACCGGAGAGATTCTTTGTGATGTGTACATAGATACACAGGTTCCATCTCCTAAAAGAATGTAATTGCTTATAAGTAGAAAAAAAAGGGTTATTTAGATTGCAGTTCTGTATATTTATCCCTCTGTTCCTCATTTAGGAGTTTGGATGGAATGAAGTCTCAGTCTTCAAGGTTTAAACTCTTCTTTGAAACAATTAACAGCATTTTGATAATAAATCAGAACAAGGGTTTCATTTTAACCGTGGAGATAATGCAATTCATTTGCATTCTGAAAGTTGTGATTGCATGTTCTATTCATATTTATCCGCACTGTATAACTAAAACTACTTCTGTTGTTTACATTGTAGCATTAACAGTGTCTAATCTGATTTTAAGGCTATAGGAAAGTGCTGTTTGCAAGAAGAAAGTTTTAACTTTCTCTGTAATAGTTAATTTATTGGAAAAGGGAGTATGTTTGGGGGCAAGTAGATGTCAAATTAAAGGCATATTTTGACAAATGTGTTTTTTGAACGGTAGCATATCCATGGGGGGAGAGGGACGACACTGCTCCATTTCAGCAATTTTGTACAATATGCAGGTATATGTAGTGAACACTTTGTCAGTTTAAACTCTCATTGCTCTGGAAGGCAGTCTGATATTCTTCCTGTTTCAGGCTGTTACTACTGCCCCTTACTGTGCCCCCATTTATGCAGTGTTGGCAGATCAGGAAACTGATCCTGCTGAAAAACACTTCATCCTGTTTAAGCTAAGTATTGAACTGTGGGCTTTGGGACTGAGGTGAGCAAAACTCCTATGGCCACAAAGCTCCTCGTTCCTGTCCTCCTTTCTCCCTATCCTGACCATACGCTTCTGTCTCCCCTTTTGCATGTACATTGGTGTTTCTTGCAACTACACAGGAAGCTCCAGCTCTAACAGCTGGTACTGGAGGAGAAATGGGAATGTGTTGCGAGCATAAGCTGAGTGGGTGGGAATGCCCCTGTCTGCAACATCACAGTCTTAATTCATTTGAAACCAATTATGAAACCAAGTTTTAGCAGAGTATGTTCACAAACACAGCAGCATAAATTTGTGCTACATTGCAAAATGTGGTTTTCATCCCTGGATATTTATTCTTCCTTTATACTATATAAGCATTCTTGTGGCCATGCAGTGAACTAAACTGGCGTCCTGGTTAAACCTAGATTAAAAGTGCCACTTTATTTTCCTAGCACTGCAGACTCGACATACAGTCTGTAACAGTGTAAGCTAGCAAATCTGTGGCTGCTACAGCCCTGCCTGCTCCTGCTGCAATTT